AAAAATAATTATTTTGTTATATATATTTTGTTTATAGATGAATCCACAACATACAGTGCCTACATTGGATGACAATGGCCTATATTTATGAGAAAGGTATATATTTCCTAATTTTTTTTTACTTTAATTTAGCAAATGTCATTGACATTCATACATATAAAATAAATATACTTTCTCTATAATAATTAACAACTTATATTTTGTTTGTTATAGTTTAATTTACTTGATATTAAATTCTCATAATGTTAGATATTTGTTTAAAGCTAATTTAGATTTACGAATTCTTTCAGAGATTTACAAAATCGTATACAAATTCTTTAGTAAAGCGTTAGTTAATTATTATTATTATTATTATTATTATACATTACTATACATAATATATTATTTTGAGGGAAAATATCAACACAAATATTTAAATATTCTAATTTAATTTTAAAAGATACTGACAATTTAAATTTATTTTTATGGAATCTAACTATTTTAAATTATATGATAATCATTTAGAGATCTTTATAGAGTGTTTCTGCATATAGTGTATAAACTGCTACAGCAGCTTCAACATATGAAAGCAAATCAAAAATGTCTAATAACATTTGTCTGATTTCGGAATGGTTTCGAAGTAACGGAATATTGAAGTATAAGGAAATAAGAATCATAGTAAATGATGTTTAATGTTCATTATTTTTGTTCGTCGATTTGAATCTTGCATCTTTTTTTCATAGACAAGATCTTTTATTCATCTCCAAAATGTAAACAAATGCACGTTAAGGATGACTTCCTATGCGAACATTTCTCCATGATTACATTGAATTGGAAGAGGCCAGGACAGTCTCATTAAATGGGAAACGAAAACGACCTCACATCAATCGATTTTTTTCTTTGGAGACGAATGAAAGATCTAATCTACCAGAATGAATTTCAGAATGCAGAACAATTATGGTAACTGATACTTAATGTTGCCGATATTATCCACGAAACTCCAAATATTTGTCATCAAATCTGAAACAATTTGTTAATTCGTGTTACACTGAAAGGATTTTGTTAATTTAGCAAGCCACTAGTACTTTTAACCGGTGATCGGTAAATATGTGACAACAAATTTTGTTGTTGTGTTTGCTGTTAGTCTGCTATACCAATTAATTAATTAACAGAAGCAAACTACATAGAATCTAACCTATCTTTTGGATAGATTTTAGGCTCGTTTATATAGAATTCGTGAAGTCTTAAGTCTTGGTAGGAAACCGACCAAGTCAAATATAGGGAGAATATTTGATTAAAATTGATCA